CTGGCTGCTCTTCCCGGAGACGCAGGTTCAATTCCTAGCACCCTCATGGCAGCTCACACCTGTCTGTAGCTCCAGTTCCAGGGGATCCAACACCCTACACAGACATACATGCAGGCCAAAGACCACTGCACATAAAAGTAGAAATGAACCATCCCAAAGAAAAGATGTACTAGAAAGTCCACTTCAACATCAGCGCTCGCTGCTGGGAACGCAGCAGGAGGAGCGGCCTCGCCACCTTCAAGGCACTGGAACAGTTTCAAGCACAGCGGTGACAATTCAACATTTCCACAGCTGGGAAGAGGGACAGAGTTTTCCACACACAAACCCCGAGCAGAGCCTACTGCATCTCAGGAGCTTCATGGTGCCGAGACATTAACACGGGTTATGTAAATCAGCGGAGAGAAATAAAATAACTTGAGTGGCAGAAAAAAATAGGAGAACTCGCTGCCAAGTAAATGCTCTATCAAATGACCTTTAATGGCTAATGCCCTGCCTCCGTTTTTCTCTCCCTGCAGGAAAAGCAGCTAAGCGGTGGCAATCAGAACGGATTCTGCGGCGTTTCCAACCAAACGCCTTTCCATCACTGCCCGAAGCAAGCTGCAAACGCGAAAGCACGCAGTGCTGATGTCTGCCCATAATTCTCGTAAATTACATGATAAATTTTCCCTCTGTCGAAGCCATTTTAACCAATTCTCCGTTAGCTGCAGAAGCAGGGAGCAGAGTTTGAACGGCTAGTAAGATTAACTAAAATGGTGTACTTTCCCCCCGCACTCCCTCTATTAGACAGGCTTAGGAACACTGGAAATCTAAAATGCAGACTGCAAAAGGAACAAAAGCATTGGGACTGATGCATGGGCAGGTGTGTGGGTGAGAAGACAATGACAGAAACCGTGGCGTAACAACCTTTCCGCTTTCTACTCTTTTGTTTCCCGGGTGAAAAGCTGCATGTTGCTCCTGTCCCCTCGAAGCCACCCCACATCACCAAGTATTAACAAACACTCGGTGATTGAAAAGAAAAACTCAGTTCTTAAAATGAAAGGCGTGAGAGCGTGAGTCAAGCCTGAGTCACCGAGCCTTGGAACGCTCCCCGGTTATTCTAAGAAAAATAACCAACACGAGTTCACACAGAACCGCAACGAAGGACCTAGATTTTGAAAAAAAAAAGAATCGAGGCAAAGACGGTTTGCACTGCTATGTTAAAACTCGTTTTTAGCTTGAGTGTGTAAGACAGCATCCTCAGCGTGGCAGCCAGAAGAGCTATTCACAAACACTCTTCCTCCTTCTGAGCACATGGTAAGACTGCCTTCCCCGTCCACTGAACTCAGGTGTGACGGGGAATCTGCAGCAGCTGCCGGTAAAATAGGAACAGCGGGGCTGAGTGGGTGACAGTACCTGCTGCAGAGCTACGGCGACTTCATCTTATCCCCGTTACCCAGACAGAAGCACGACATAGTCACATGCACATACACAATACACACTTGTACACACACATGCACACACACACTAATAATAACAACAATAATAAACAACTTAAGAGGGAGAAGCGACCTTTTGGAAGTGACCAAATCGGCAGAAGCTTTACTAGCCAACAGAGCCTTTGCAACTTCTTTTCCCCTTGTCACTGGGACTGGCAATAATTTAGTTATTCTGATTCTGGAATGAGGATGATAACAACACAGATGGCCTTAAATGGGCAGGTATCAAAAAAAAAAAAAGTTAAAAAGCTAGCATGCTTTAAGACACTGAAAACTCGAATTATTATGCAGCATAGCCCAACCTATCTTGACTAATAGAATTGGTTTTTGTTCTTCTAGACTATCCATACCAAATTCTTTTCCTTTTTAGCTTCTGTTTTGTTTTGTTTTTGTGGGGAGTTGAAGTGGAGATATGTTAAGCAGTAGTGTTAGGAGAAAGAAAGGCACCCAGAAAAAAGGCCTAGCAGACCCCAGAGTGTAGGCGTGGACTTCTCAAAGGAGAGTCGCCTTTTTTTTTTTTTTGAGAGAGTCCTGCTCTGCAGCTCGAGTTGCCCCTGAATTCACCAATGTCTTGCTAAAGTGCTGAGAGTAGAGGCGTGAGCGACACCAGACTTTTCACAGCCTTTCTTCTGTATCTTTCCCTTCCTTGCTTATTATCTGTGTCTGTGCATGCACACACGTGTGTGTACATGCATATGCATGTGTGTGGTGTGTATGTGTATTCATGTGTATGTATATGTGTGTGGTATGTGCATGTATAGATTGTGTGCATCTATTGTGTATGTGTATACATGAGTTGTGTAGCTAATTTAAGATGTAAGAATTAGTTAATAAGAAAGCCTGAGCTATTAGGCCAACCAGTTTATGATTAATGTAGACCTCTGTGTATTTCTTAGGACTGAACAGCTGAGGGATCTGGTAGGAAGGAAACCTCTGTCAACATGTATGTGTTTGTGTGTGTGTGATGTATATGTTTATGAGGGTGGGTGTGTATGCATGTTTGTGTGGTATATTCATGTGAAGGTATAAATGTGAGTGCATATGTACGAACGTGAAGGTGTTCATGTGTGTGTATATATATTCATGTATATGTGTATTTGTGTATGTGTGGTATATACATCTATAAGGGTGTGTGTGTATGCACACGCATGTGGTTTATGCAAGTGCATGTGGTGTATGCATGTGTGAGGGTGTGTGTGTATAAGTGTATTATGTGTATATGTATATAAAGGAATGTGTGCATATGTGTCTGTATGCTAGTGTATATGTGTATTTGTGCATGTATACATGTGTGGTGTGTGCATGTGTGCAGTATATGTGTGCATGCATATATGTGTATGCATGTGACAGTGTACATGTGTATATATGTGTATTCGTGTGTATGTATATGTGTGTGCGTGCATACGTGCTCATAATGTATGTGAGTGAGGGTGTGCAGGTATACACGGAGGCAGAGCGCTTTCCTCCATCACATCGTCATTCTAACTAAATCTCTCACTGAATGCAGAGCTCGCTATTCCAGCTAGACTACCTGGCGGCCTGCCCCTCATGCTGGGGTTACTCCTATGCCTGGCTTTTCTGTGAGCTGGGGACAGGAACTCAGGTCCTCATGCAAACACAACACTACCCACTGGGCCATCTCCTCGCAGCCTTTACATCATTCTTGGTTACTTTACAAAGAAGATGGCTGTTTACTTGGAGACTCAAGCTTAGACTCTGAGCACATGCTCAATAAAGCATGAAGACTACTTGCTGAAGACGGCTAAAAATAACGAAGTAAAAGCTGTCGGTTATTCAAAGCAGGATACTGAACGTGCTCTAAAACCAACAACCACGAAACAAATCACCGTGCCTCTGTTCCTACAAAGCCACAACCATGGGAACACATGGACACACAGGCTCTGCGTTGCTCTTTCCCCTTGCTTTAAAATTCACTGGATTATGCCAAACACTACAATAAGTACATGTCAAGAATTAGCTCAGTTAGGTGGCAGGCTGACCAACCCTGCAACTACCCAAGTCCAGAGCCAGGGTTACGAGTTGGCCCACCCCAACATCCACCCCATCTGTGATTTGCTGGAGCATATGAAGGGACCTGACCTACTGATCCAAAGCTGCAGGATCTCCATGGCACAGGATAAGCAAGAGGAGCTCCAGTGAGGGCCCAGCATTCGACAGTGTAGCAGAAGCCAGAGTCCTTGAACCAGACCAATGGCTCTGTGCAATGAACACTTGCAAGTAAAGATATATAGAGAGAAGGGTTTACTGCGTGACTCAGCGTGTCACACTGCAGCTTCTATGATGAGATAGATTCTTTTCTTTTCTCTCTCTTTTTAAACTTTTTCTTTTCTCCTAAATTTTATTTTATTTTGCAGGGGAGGTTGCAAGGGCAGAGGGCGGATACAAAGAGACAGGGAAATGAATGGGATGGAGATACATGACGTGAAAGACACAAAGAATAAATAAAAAGGAGAAAAAAGAATTAGCTCATTTAGGGGCTGGAGAGACTATTTGCGAAGGACCTGGGTTCAGTTCCCAGACCCACACCAACACCTTTTAAATCACCCCCAACTCTAATTTTGTCTCCTGGTCTCTGCAGGCACCCACATGTGTGTGCATGGTGCACATACACGCACTTAGGTGCACACATATAATAAATGTATTTAAATAAAGAAATAGAGCATACATGGAAGGAATGTTGTATACATAATAAATAAATAAATCTTTAAAAAAAAATAAAGAAATAGATATCTTTAAAAATCAACCAGCTCATCTAATCTCACACTAGCTCATTAAATTTCATGCAAGGCACAGGAGGCAGAGACAGGCAGGATCTCTGTGAGTTCTAGGCCACCCAGTCTACAGAGTAAGTTCCAGGACAGCCAGGGTTGTTACACAGAGAAACTCTGTCTCAAAAACCAAAAGCAACAGGATCTACCTTCATCTACAGAAGAGGACACAAAACACTAACGACAAGAGCCACAGGCCTGAAATCCAGGCACTCCCTACAGTCTAATTTTAACGTTCTGGTTTTCTAGGGATTTATTGTACAAAATTAGCTTTAATTTTCTAATCTCATTGCTGCTATGAAAAATCATGATCTCAGAGGGGAACACTTGGGAAACATAAGCAGGAGGGTCTCTCTGTAAGTTCAGATCTGTTTTGGTCTTCATAGAGAGACTGTCTCAAAATGAGGGGGGAAAGACTGAAAGATCATGGTAGTCTTATCTGAAACTGCTAGAATATTTACAAATTGATAAAAACAAATGATTACCCAGTGAGAAACAACTGCATAGGCTAATTTATGAAAGTATCATGTATGGAAGTCCCCAAACTAATGAGTATCTAATATCTTGATACTATATCTTGGTGTATTTTCAAATTAGAGAGATGTGATCCACTGAAAACAGTGACTCCAAGGAGCAAGGAGAGGTCAGGAGAAGGCAAGCTGCAGGCTATACAAAGAGGGCAGCAGCTGTTTACAAGAACTGTTTCTACAAAGAACGAAAAATAAAACATACTTACAATTTGAGAATCACGACTCTTAGAAAACATTTTTGCAACGTTGAGGCCATCGATAACAATATCAAAAGGAGGACAGGAGTTTATAAAGTTCTCAAATCTCTTCAGTTCCTGAAAAAGCAAAGTCAGACAGAACATCAAGAAGAGCCTAGGGGCTGGGGATGAGGACGGGGGAGGGGGTAGAACACATCTGCTCTGCCTGCAGCCTTGGGTTTGATTCCCAGCACTGCACAAACTAGGAAAGCTACTCCACACCAGAGAAGAGGAGACTGAGAGAGGTCAAGGTCATCCTCGGTCACACAGTGAGCCGCCTGGAGATGTGGAAGACCCTGTCTCAGAACAAACCAATCCAAAAACAACTAAACCAGAGAAGTGAACAAGGGCTTCACTGTAAACATGCCAAGGTGATTATTATTTTGATAACTGGAATATTGCTCCCATAAAAACTCTCTCTCTCTCTCTCTCTCTCTCTCTCTCTCTCTCTCTCTCTCTCTCTCACACACACACATGAAATCTAAAAAGGCTGCATTTAGATGCCAACTGCACGTATCCAGGGCCCTACAATCTTAGTGCTGTCCTCAGGGGACATCTCCGCGCCCAGCCTGATTTCAGACAGTCACTAGCCTGCCAGCGGCACACACAATATCATAAGAGATCAGGATACTGAAATTGTTAAGTCCTGTTCCTAAGAGAAGTGAACACACAGAAATCAGTTACCTGGTAACCGTGGTGAAAGAACAAGGATCTACATTTTAAATTTTTTATTTATTTTCTTGGTGGCACACATCTTTAACCCCAGCACTCTGAAGGTAGATACAGTTAAATCTCTGAGTTTGAGGTCTACTTGGGGATTTTTGAGTCAGCGAGGGCTACACAGTGAGTTTGTCTCAAAAAAAATTTTTTTTCTTGAGCTTTGTTTTTTGAAACAAGGGCTTGCTATACAGTTCAGGTTGGTCTCGAACTCACTATGTACTCTAGGCTGGCCAGGAACAGGAACCTCCTGCCCATGCCTGCTGAGTGCTGGGAGTACAAGTATGTGCCATTACTGGAGAGAGCAAAGGGGAGACGGGATATAATTATATTTCGATTAAAAGCATATGGTTAGCCTGGCGGTGGTGGCACACATCTTTAATCCCAGCAATCCTGGGAGGCAGAGACAGGTGGATCTCTTTGAGTTTAAGGTTTACCTGGTCTACAGAGCTAGTTCCAGGACAGCCAGGGCTACACAGAGAAACGCTGACTCAAAACACACACACCTGCCGGGCGATGGTGGCGCACGCCTTTAATCCCAGCACTCCTGAGGCAGAGGCAGGCAGATCTCTGTGAGTTGGAGACCAGCTTGGTCTACAGAGCTAGTTCCAGGACAGGCTCCAAAGCCACAGAGAAACCCTGTCTTGAAAAACCAAAAACCAAAAAACAAAACACACACACACACAGAAAAAACTAACCAAACATTTAAACAAATGTTTAAAAATGCTATGCTAACACAGAGAGAGACAGAGACAGAGGCGTCAGAGAAACAGCAGGCATGGTCGTGATATCCTACACCTGAAATCCAGCACTGGGAGATAGGAAAGGAAAGAGAGGGGAGGAGAAGAGAGTGCAGTGGAGTCTGGGGCAGGAAGACTCTGGAGAAGAAGGTGGTTAACAATGGGGGAGGGGCAGGAGGGCTTAGTAAGAACAAAGCAATGACACTTAGGGTGGAAATTCAAACCCGTTTCTTTGTGTGCCAATACAAAATTAATGCCTGGTGGTGATGGCATGCATGTCTAATCCCAGCATTTGGGAGGCAGAGGCAGGTGGATCTCTGTGAGTTTGAGGTTTGCCTGGTCTAAAGAGCAAGATCCAGGAAAGCCAGGGCTACACAGAGAAAGCCTGTCTTGAAAACCAAACCAAAACAAAAATTAAGTTAGTAGAGGAAATTTATACTTGGTATTAGCCAAAAGGCCAGAAATAATAGAAGAGTACATTTGATATAGGAGGAAACAAATAATTTTAAATGTGATTATTCTTTACAATTTTACACATACATACACCTGTAATGTACTTTGATCATATTCTTCCCCCCTTATGCTCTTTCATCCCCTTACCACCTCAAATTAAATTCAGTAAGGCAAACAGTGAAGAACTGTCCTCATCCTCTATTTCCCATTGCATACAAAATTATTTTAAAATGGATCGCAGAAGGCTGAAGAGATGACTCAGTAGTCAAGAGCAGTAGCTGCTCTTGTAGAGGACCCGGACTCAATTCCCAGCACCCACAAAAAGACAACCATCTGTAATTCCTGTTCCAGGGGATCCAACGTCATCTTCTGGCTTCCTTGGTACACAGAGGTACATAGAGAGATGCAAGTAAAGTCCACCCATACACATACAAAAATAAAATAATTAAAATTAAAATTTGTATTTGGTAACAAAACCAACTAAATATTGGTTGGAATAGGGATACTAATAATAAATAAGATTTATTTATTATGTATACAAGGAACATCAGTTTCTATAAATGAGAGCAAAATATCAAGAAGAATTAAAGATTTCTATGCACTACTGAATGAAATACAAAGGAAAGGACATGGCTGTTCCTAGGTATGGTGGAGGACAAAGTTTACTGTAGATACGTGGGAGGAAAATGCCCAGAGGCAGGGACATGTGGGAGAGTCCAGAGTGGTCATGACCCTGAGCCATGTGAGGAGAAGGGAGGAGAAGGGAGAGGGGAGAGACATGATGAGGTGCCCCCGTCAGGAGGCCAAAGGGACAGGGGGTGACCAAAATGTCTGGATTCTACAGGGACAAAGGGTGACCACAATGTCTGGATTATATATGAAAGAGCCTCAGAGGGAAGGGCAGCCCAGACCCTGGGCCAGAAAGTTCAGGGTAGGGGGCGGGTATGCCAGCCAACCCTGTAACAGGTAGAGACTGAGGGATGCTGGGAGAACCTGGAGGCCAGGTCTGCTTCGATATGTTAAACAGACACATCAGCCGTTTGTCCCAGGTTTGAAACTTAACAAATATGATTATCATTTTTGTTTGTTTCTCCCATATACAGCTAAATAAACAAAAGGAAACAGGACAAGTGCATTAAATTGCCAACACTGAAGCTTTCCTAAGAGGCCATTTCTAATATATCAGGAGGTCAGGAGGATTGGTAAGAGTGTGAGGCCACACTGGGGCTGTACCAAAAAAAAGTGTCACCAATAACCAGCAGAGCAGACATTCTCCACTACACTGCCGGCTATCATTTTGGTGCTGTGCTTAGTAACATATTGTATTCATCTCAGTAATGGCAAACACGGACATCAAAATGAGTCTCATAAAAAGTTAGACTAGATAACTTACAAACTCCCCTTTCTATTCTGATATTGTGGTGTTCAGAGCAGTTGGAAATTCCTTAAAACTACAGACTGGGAAAAGGTATGCCTGAGACAATTTATGGGAAAGGTGACTCTCTGGATGCCATAAAATCCCCATCCAAAGACTATCCTCCTGGTCTGTATTTCTACTCAGAGAAGAAGGTCCAGAACGCCAGGCTGCTCCTCCACTCCCACTGCTCAGGTCCATCCACCGGGGACACTGTCAGTGAGGGATCCATGCAGTATTCCCAAAGGTGCTCCTGAAGCTCAGGTTGAGTTTTAGTTTATTTTTGAGAAAGCATCTTTTGATTATGTAGCTCTGGCTGTTCTAGAACTAGTTATAAAGATCAGGCTATTCTTGAACTCACAGAAATCCACCTGCTTCTGGAGTGAAATACATTTATTTTGTTGAATGCAAAAGCCACCAGGCAGTTAATGCAGACAAGATGTGACCAAAATAGAGTTGGCCTACTGAGGTAGTCCACACGAAAGACAAGACAGAGCAGTGCAAGCCTGAAAGCCCAGCAGCTTGCATGGAGGGTGAACTTGAATAGAGGTGAGTGTGTGGGTGCACGCCTCAATCCCATCATTTGGAGCTGGAGAACTAAGAGGTCAATACATAGCTACATAGGGAGGTGGAGGGCAGTCTGGGCTACACAAGACCCTGTTCAAAATAAAACAAAGAAAATATTACCCAATAAACAATCTAAGAAGAACTATTTCTTTCATGTCTATTATTGGTTTATATGTAAATGTACATTGCCCAATGATCCAGGATATAGAAAGTCTACCTAAACATTAATCCTTTACTTCTTGGCTGTCACTAAAAACATTTTTTTTTCTTAAAATGGTTTAATGAGATATAATTGATGTGTGATTTCCCTCTGTATGCTGTGAATATGTTTTACTAGCATTGGTTAATAAAAGAAGCTGCTTTGGTCTATAGCAGGGCAGAATATAGTCAGGCTGGAAGAGATATATATAGAGAGAGTAGGCGGAGTCAAGGATTATGTATATTACTATGTTTACTTTGAATTTTTTTGATTGTGAATTAGCTAAATTGAGAGAGACACTCATTGTAAAGGCTACTAAGCTAAGCCAACATATATACTTTAAAGGTATCTTGACTTCAAAATTTGGGTCTAAGGATACGTTACTTTAAAAATCAGGCCTCAAACTCACAGTCCTCCTGCCCCACCCTCCTGAGAACTGGAATTGTGGGTAATTATAACCATGCTTCAGTCATTGCCTTTTTTTATTCACTTGATGCTTTACAATATAAGTGAAATGTAACCAAAAGGAATTGTAAATATGATTCACAAACAGGCTATTAACACAAATGTTGGGAGGGATCAAGCAGGTAAAATAAATGCTAACACTGGCTAAATATAAGAAAATAAAAGAGGGCTGGCCAGATGGCTCAGTGGGGAGGGGGCTTGCTTCCAAGTTCCAGAATCCACAGGGTAGAAAAGATAACTGATATTCACAAGTTGTCCTCTTGTTTTAACATGCATGAGATAAGTTTTTAGGACATGGCTTTAAAAGAAAATTCATGTGAGCATGGTGGTGCACATTGTTAATCCTAGAACTTGTGAGTTTCAGGCTACATAGTGAGACCCTGTCTCAAAAAATGGAGTGGTAGTGTACACCTGTATTTTCAGCATTCTGGAGGAAGTGGAGAGGGGTAGATTACAAGTTTAAGCTCATCCATGTGCATAGTTTAAAGACAGCTGAGCTACAAGAGAGTTTCTTTCTCTTTTT